TTCCTTATGGGTTCCTTGCATGCAAAGATCACCTCCCAATGCCCATGGAGCATAAAAACAATTTATTCCATTTTATAACAGAGTACAATTATGCATAACATGCTGGTACTGAATTGGTTCAGCCCAAAAACTATGCTTGGCACTGCTGACCACCAAGAGACGATCAAGGGCTCAAAAAATAGAGAAAAATGATAAACATGGATTCCCCAAATTTCATCCAGATTGACCCAGCTGTTGTGGAGCAATGGTGGTGACAATTTCTCATCTTACTGTAAGGTTCCACACAATGTCAAAAGGCACATGAGGGTGGCAGTGTTGAAAGTCCCATGTGGTGGAGCCGAGATCCATACTTTGGGAGATCATGAAACTGGTTTTTGGCCCAAAATGGAAATCACAAGCTGTACAGAAGTAAACAAACAACCAAAATGCACTCTGGAGTGCTCAGAAAAATTCAGAAAAATCACAAAGGATGTGTATGAAGATTCAATTGACATGGGGACTCTCATGGACACTTTCCAGGATGCCTAACCCTGTGCATGGGCCAATTTCATGATTCTCACGCCCACCACTCAGTCAAATCTCAACCATTTGGGACAAATTTGGTATTGGGAGAAAGCTACAAACCCAGGGAATCAAATGGAGAGGTTGGGAAGAGATGCTACAGGTAGGAGGAGATGGATGAGTGTGGTGTGATGATGGAAATTGGTGGAGGATGGCAATTATTAGCGGATATGGCCCACTTATCACTCCTGTTTTCTTTTATTGAACTTCCACATTGACCGTTGGACTTATCAGCCATACATAACTGTCTACATGGTGCTCGTAACAACAATCTTTCATTTTATATTTGTTGGAGGAACCGTGTGCTATGAGGGTACTCCAACGGAGCTAACCTGAACAGCCACATTCCTGCATTAGCGTGGGAACATTCTGGGAGAGCAACTTGCCCAGAATCCACCATGTGACTACTTAGTCACAAGACCTCCTTTATATTATTTCGGACTAATCCGTGCCAGACCATGGATATATTCATTCATTTGAATTCATTTCCTTTTCCCTCAGTTCTTCACACATATTAGCTGAGACTGAGGTTAGTTACATTCCCTCATTGTTTTATCATTGTAACTTATATTATGTATATTACCTCTAGTATTTGCTCATAGGTAATATATTTAGTTCTTCACGCATATTAGCTGAGACTGAGTATTTGCTCATAGTCCAGCTCTGAGATCACAAGTGTCGCTCATCAACAATATTTTCTTTTCATTTGTTTTTCCACATTATTGCCATTCCATGTGTTTAAAAGCCCTGTACACATAGGAATGGAAAGAGGACCTCCCTTTTGACTACAAAAGAGACTGTAGTGCTGAGAGATCCAAGTAGAAAAGAAACCCTAAGCTTGACTCCTTGAGTATTGTCAGGGCATGCTGCTCTGCTCCACACTTGTAAGGCCAGTTGGGGTGCCGACCTTGGTGCCTCTTCAGTCCTCAGGTCAGTTGATATCTAGGTTGTATAGAACTTAGTATTCGACGTTGGTGTGGAGAAGAGTAAAGAACCTTTTACCCAACTCCGCACCATACATATGTAAATACAAAAGTACAACAAGGAATAATAAAGGAATAAGTAAATCACCACCCCTTCCTTACATTCGGACAACTCCAGAGTGGAATTGGAGACTTAGCGTGGAAGGACCTCAGCCTCAGCGACTCAGGCAGAGTGCTGTGCCATTGCTGGTTGTCCTGGGGGTCCCTAATTTTGGATCTAGCAAAGGAAAGTCTCTTGGGGGGAAATCAAGTCGATTTCAGACTGAGGTTACAAGTTACTAAGTACATTGTATATAAGGAGGGGTCCGGAATCAAAAGGAGCAAGGGTACTCCGAAAGGAGACAAAGGGAGCTGGAAGGAGGAACAACACCGAGGGTCTAGGGTTTGACTCAATGGTGTTTCCCAAAGGAGGAGTGAAAGGAAGGAGGATGGGAGTGGGGAATGGCTAGCTGACTGAATAGAAAGGAAGCAGCAGCCCAAATAGGAATGAGGGAGAATAGCGGAATTGAATGGAGCAATGCAATAGTTGCAAGGTCTGAAGTAAGTCTGGAAAGTCCAAACTCGGAAGTTAAACTCCGGAATATTGGCAAACATAATTAAATGGAATGAGCTAACCAATGCAATGGGTATAAGCAGAGATGGGGTCAAAGTCCGAGGTCGGAGCTAGGACCAGAGGTTCCAGAGATGGAGACACAAACAGGATTCCGGAGTGGAGGTCCAGAGTTGGGAGCATAGGTGTTGTGTGCTTGTCTGGGAGGTGTCAAGGTTGAGGTCGGACCTGGAATGTTCCAGAGTCGGACCGAAGGTGGTGTCGGAGCCGGAGGTGGGATAACCTCTTGGGAGTCGGCAAGGAGAAGGTGACAGAAGGGAAGTAGGACTCCAGAAGTCAGTTTCGGAGTTCCAGGAGCCTGGAGTGGAGGTCGGGATTGTACGGATATGACAGAGACAGTGGTTTGTTGGCTGAGCTTGCAAGGATGCATTTGTTTGGGTAAGGGCTGTGTGTGTGCAAGTGCTGAGTGTGCTGAGTGTGTGTGTGGTGTGCAAGTGCTGTGTGGGGTGTGAGTGCAGTGTGTGAGTGTGGTGTGTGAGTGCAGTGTGTGAGTGCGGTGTGGTATTATGTGGTGTGTGAGTGCAGTGTGTGAGTGTGGTGTGGTATGTGGTGTGTGAGTGCGGTGTGTGAGTGTGGTGTGCTGTGTGGTGTGTGGTGTGTGGTGTGTGTGTGAGTGCTGAGTGTTGAGTGCTGAGTGCTGAGTGCTGAGTGTGCTGAGTGCTGAGTGTGCTGTGTGCTGTGTTGTGTGTGCTGTGTGCTGTGTGCTGTGTGAGTGAGTGAGTGAGTGAGTGTATGCATGCCTGGAAAGTAATTGCCCATGGGTTGGGTTGGTGGTTGGGGGTTTGGGTTGTGGGTTGGGGGTTTGGGTTGGTGGGTTGGGTCGGGTAGGGGGTTGGGAAGTTGGGTATGGGGCTGTGGTGTGGTGGGAACGTATCTCTTTAATAATGCCATATGGAGCAGAGCAGGACAGCCCCTGCAGTGACCAATGTGGAGTAAGGACAGTGAGCAAGTGCAGAACACATGGCTAGCTGTCTCTGATTAATATCAGGTACACTATGATGGCAACTTAATAACATTGATTTCCCTGGGTAACATGTATATATGCAATCCTGTTTCCATTTTTATCAGTCACCTGCCAAGACTTTAATGTGGAGGAGTGTCCATGCACCCTCCCTCTACCTGACATCTAGGGCTCCTAGCAGATCAGACCCATATTGGCATATCTTTGTGGGCCAATCTGAATGTCAGAGACATAGCATATGACTACATATATCACCGCATGTAGCTGCATCAGCCCATAACTCTCTCACCCCTTTCCCTGATCTGACTCCACCCCTTGATCTGAGTATCTCCCTGTTTTTATTACTTTGTTGCCTACCTCATCATTTAGTTCTGTTGATCCTTTTTCTTCCAATTGATTCATATCTCTCATGTATATAGCCCTATGTGTTGCTGAGGGTTGGAACCTCAGCTTTGTCTATGACTAGGTTTTTGGGTGATACTTGACTTGGACTGACAAGCGATCCCTGACACTGAATGCATGGATATGGCTCAGATTCTTGGATTGGGTATGTGAAGAAATTCATGTTGCTAGTGCTATAGACTTATGTCATGAATTCAACTAATGTAAATCAGGTGACTGGATGAATGACATAAAATGGACAAGCCTGGTATCGAACCCAGGACCTCTAGCATGCATCCATACACTACTCACCCATTATGCCAGGGAGGTTACTCCATCCCTGATGGTTATTCCAACAGTATGGAGTTTATTTACTGCAATCAAATAGACCATTGCCTGAACTAAACACTTTGCATACAAATGAAGATAGCATATTTAATTTGAAATTGCAGTATGGTTTGTTAGAGGGTTCCTCCCAAACTGGATGGCCAAGCTTGCAGCGCAGCGCCGAAGGCGCTGCAAGCTCGGCCATCCAGTTTGAGGGGAACCCTCATAACAATTGTAGCCTGGTTGTTTAATGACCCCACCCCACAAGACTAATCATGGGGCAATGACCGGAATCGGCCCAGCTGATGCTGCAACCTCTCTTGTTCGATCGGACCCTGCTGCACTTGTCTCAGCACCGCACTCACCCCTTTGCCGCCCTATCTTTCACGAGCCCCTGCGCAAACCTGACCATTTGATGGACCCAGGAACCGTGCCTCAGTCGTACGCTGGGTTTTCTGGCGCGGATGCGCAAAGCAGATTATACCAGTAGAGGTATGTACTGAACTTCACTCATCACGAGAATGCTCACGATAATTCAGGCCGTGTTTATAAAAAGGGCTTCCATGATGCCCCCTTTCCTCTCCTTATCGGCTGAACCTCCTCGCATCTCTCGTGGTGAGTCAAACGCCAACTTGCTGCCGCTCATCAAAACTCACTCGTGAACTGCTGCTGCTGCCTCTCCCGCTTCCCTGGCTGCCGCTATCATCTTAACTGGCTCACATCCGCTGCTATAGTCTGACTTGACTAGTTTTGTCTCTCCCACCCCCAACCCCTTTCACCACCATTAGAACGATCTTGAGCTTTTGTCTTGCGAATTGTTTTTCCGAATTTGCGTGTATTATCAGTATCCGCTCGCGTTTGTCTTTGGTTGCTTCCCTTTGTTCCGTTGTAGTATGGTTTCTTCTTATTGCCTGGAATTCCCTTGTACTTGTCTGGTTGTTTCTCTGAACTTTCTCATTTGTGATCTCGCTTGTTTTTATTGTTTGGTTTCCCTTGTACTAGTAACGGATCACGCGTGTCTTGCCGCGCCTGCTGCCAATCCATTCTGGGCCTCCTGGGCCGTCTCCCGCTACAATCCTCAGTCGAACCTGATTAGTCCGTGTTATATAGCTGTAAATCCCAAAACATCGAGGTCTTCGGAAGTAAACTCCGACATGGTTGTGTCCTGTCGAACACCATGTCCTCTTATGAACGCTTGAAAGAACGCTATCTCGCAGCGAATCAATCCCACGTCTTCACTTATTGGGACAGGCTTAATGAGAAAGAGCGCGATGAATTGCTGCACAACTTGAACAAGATCGATATCGAACGCGCAAACCGCATATTCGCCAAATCTACCCATCCCACTAGCGAAAGTGGAAACGGACAGCCCTCCATAGAGCCCTTTCCCGATGATTCTTTCGATACCACGATCGGCGAGGAAAGCGTTGCGAATGTGGAATCATGGAGAAAGATCGGATTGGACGCGATCGGCGCTGGCAAGGTTGGCGCTCTACTGATGGCGGGCGGCCAAGGGACGCGGCTTGGAAATTCAGACCCTAAAGGCTGCTACGATATCGGTTTGCCCTCACATAAACCACTCTTCCAGATTCAAGCGGAGCGAATTTTACGCTTGCAGACACTCGCGGAGAGGGAACTAGGGAAACCTGTGGGCTCAGTCATCGTTCCATGGTATGTGATGACTAGTAGACCAACACGTCCGGCAACGGTGGCATTCTTTGAAAAACATCAATATTTTGGCTTATCGAGATCGAATGTGATCTTCTTTGAACAAGGTCAGTGAGAATAGATCAGCCTGGGTCCCAGCAAAGTGTCTAAACATGACATCCTCAGGGACTTTGCCGTGTTTCTCTCCAGACGGGAAGGTCATAATGGCGTCTCCAACCGAGATTGCCACCGCACCGGACGGAAACGGAGGGTACTACGCTGGTTTGCGTGCACCTCTTTCCCCCTCAGACCCCGATCACACTGGACTCTCAGACCTCAAATCCCGCGGGGTCGAATACTTGCACGCATATGCTGTCGATAATTGTTTGGTGCGCGTTGCCGATCCCGTGTTCGTCGGGTACAATATCTGGAAACACGCAGATTGCGCCGCGAAAGTGATACCCAAGGCAACGCCTGATGAGGGCTTAGGCGTTATAGCACTCAAAGGGGGCGTCTTCACTGTCGTAGAATACACTGAAATTACCAGGGAACAGGCGGAACGCAAGGACCCAAATCACCCTGATCGTCTCGCTTTCCGTGCAGGGAGCATTGCCAATTTTTTCTACACTCGAACGTTCCTCGAAGAGGTTGAATCATTCGAAAGCCAACTAGCTTTCCACATCGCTCAGAAGAAGGTTCCATATTGTCCTGTCGATAACCCCACCGGAGAGACCATCAAACCTTCCAAACCAAACGGCATCAAGCTGGAACTCTTTGCATTCGACGCTTTCTCCTTTGCAAAGCGCGTGTTTGTCTTGGAGGTCGACCGCAAGGAAGAATTCAGTCCATTCAAGAATCCTCCGGGAACGGGCTACGAAGATCCGGACACTAGTCGAACCGCTATTCTCGCTCAGCAAAAGAGGTTCTTGCAGCGTGCTGGAGCGAGCGTTGCAGATGGTGTCGTGATAGAGATATCACCGTTGGTGTCCTATGCTGGAGAAGGGTTAGAAGCCGCTAAAGGAAAAACGTATGTTCGTTCTGGTTTTGTGGAGTCTGTCGAGGAACTGGATGGGTTAGCGTAAACTTGCACAGGGCTTTCTGTAATCGACATCCACCGAATGTGCGTCGCGTGTTTATACCGTTGTTGTACTGCTCCTGAATCAATCAGGCTTATCTGGATGTAACATAATGTGAATTACCCGAATTGGAATATTAGCGGTTTTTACGCTGGCGACGTTCTCGCTGGCGTACACGAATTAGACACAATATTGTGAACACAAGAAAAAAGAGGAAACATCTTCGACTCACAGACTCAAGTCCCGTAGCACGTGAACTGAGAAGTCGTAAGGTCCAAAAATTGTGTTTTTATATGTAGTCAGGCAAACCAAAATAGGCAAGAAAGGGAAATCCAAGACGCCGCAAGACTTAGGCAGGATCCCACAGCCTCTACTACGCAAGATCACTCAGCATCAACAACGTGAGTTGGCCTCGGCGTACGCTTGAATCTAATACTCGGACCAATCCGATCCGGGTTCTTGGGGGCTTCCGACTGGCCAGCCAACGCATCGTCGCTAGCGTCCGAATCCCCAGACGGTTCGAGATTAGGGCCCCTTCAGCCATGCACCGCACAAGTATCCATGTGAGAATAGGCTAGAAGCGCAACTCGAAGCGCGGTAACGAGCCCGACAATCGACTCCACGTCTCTAGTGCATTAAGAATGGCGAGTGCCAGTCGGACCTTTGAAAAAGCCGCTTCCTTGCTAATCCGCCTTTTGACCCCCCCCCCCCCCCCGGGCAAGCTTGCAATGAACTTCCTCCCGATCAAAACTACCGGCTACCAGGTACAGCTCCGATACATTGATATCACCACTGTTTGATACTTTCCACGAGAACTGAACTGCTGGATATCACCGCGGATGTCAAAACGTCCACAGAAAGCTTCTCTGGATATCCCAGTCGACGAGAATAGCGATACTCCCTTACCAGGGAAATGCATTGGTTCAAGATCTCGGTAATGCCGTCGCCATGGTCGATTTCAAAAAGAGGAAGAAAAAAAACGTGGATCGATAGGCAGAGTTGCGTTTGGACGGTTGGACGCATCCTTTTGAGAAACCTAGAAGATATGTCCAAGGGGGGCACGCCATGAATTTGAAATGGATTCAGCCTCCCAGCAACTCCTTTTCCAGGCCAAACGTTCACCATCCTCGCGTCTCTGAACATCGGACGATAATGTCATGTGGATTTCAGTTGCAACCCTAACATTCCGAGTTGTCTTCGCTCCGTTTCCAGGCTCGTGTAAGTGTCAGACGCAGAGTGGAATATCACCATGAGGATAAACGATGGCACCACTCTGTATTCCTGATAAGTATGGGAGGGAGAGTTGGCGACTTAACGGACGATCTAAGTATTGAACCCACCAGTCAGATCCACCCGAGGCAACCGGCAAGGCACCGCCTACACGGAAATCATTCGGCTACGCAGGGGGCCATCTACTTTTTCAGATGAACCAAGTTGCTCAAGGAACAGCGTACGGTGATGCAGTGGATCGGGGCAAAACGAGCGTATTCTGGCGTTTGGCTTAGGCTGGTGACCTGCCTACGTTCGGCTGCACATCCATGTGATGCTCCCTTGTCTTCGAGTTGGTAGGGCGAACGGGACTGACAAAGGGGGCTACCCAAAGATCCTATCCTCCCCTCCAAATTCTCATTAGGAGATGTTTAACTTGTGAGAATAATGATCACCCCAAGCGTAGGACACACTGCCCCAGCCCTCAAGTGTGAAACGTCGATTCAGAAGCCACGAGAAATGACGCTTCTGAGAAGCCTACCAAATCTGACGATCGTAACGTCCTGGGCTGGTCAAGCAGCGATTGGCCAGTGGAAAGTGAGTATTTGAGACTATCAATCTTGTCAAATGCCCAGGCACAGCAACAACATGGCGTGAACTTGGAATGTTGAACCCTTGAAATTATGATCCTGATGCTACAAACGCCTCGCAAGCTCAGTCAAATTAAGTGGCGCCCGCTGAGTTACGATCCGCGACTGGCGTGAGGTCTGGGACTGGTTCCATGCAGACCACACCGTAAACCGATAGGCCAACGGCTTGCACTAGTGCGCCGCGTCCCAGGATACGATCCTCACAGTGATTTTCCTATGGGATTTCGTGACATCCAGGATACCAAATCAGACCATACACCGTAATCGTATCGAATTGGAATGTAAGCATTTGTGAGACCCAACTGTCATAGCTTGCAATAGCATGAAACTACATGAAATACTCAGGCATCCTCCAGAGGACCCTCATCCGTATGCGTTCAGAGATGTCTATTTGCCAGCACAGGGGGAGGGGGGTAGTTCGAAGAGGGCAAGTACTCGCTTCATCAATAAGATCCAGATGCCTCCTGATTTCCGTCTTCATCTAAAGTGGTTGGGTTAGACGAATGCGGGGATGAAGTAGCATCCAAGCTGATGAGGAAGCGAAGAAAGCAGGGTGTTTGTCGGTTCAACGATCGGAATCTTCATTCACTTCCCCAGAGGCAAACTCCTGCTAAGCCCGAGAATAGTCACCAGAGGTGCCTCTCAGGCGACATCCCAAAGTCCTGACCGAAGACCCGGGCGGGTGCACAACGCAAAACATTTTGATTTGGTTGTGGGTTGACGAGGACGGCTTTATATATACGAGCTGGAATTCATTTATTCATCCGCGGCAATGTCCATTGCATTCACATTCGCGTTCACTAAGGTCCTGATATGTTCACCTGGAATATCGTACACTGTGTCACGCCAGCGGGTTGCAAAAAAATCGTCGCTCTACTATATCGGGAGCATCGGAAAATAGTCATCACGCCCCAATCAATGTTATCGTACCGCGGGTTTTCTCCTGTTTTCTCCCATGCGGCTGGCAAGGAACGGCCGGCTCGGGATGGGATCGGGTGGAGGTCAGCGGTTCAGCCGGGTGATCCGAAGTATATGATGATCGCAGCAACCACCTTTTGTGAAAAACCCCCTATACCATGTCGTTCGACACTCCAGTAACAGCTGGGCCCACTGTGGGCAGTGCCTCCATGGGAGAGTGCCAAGCTTTATGTGCTGCGCACCACTATCGATCGAAGATGGTGATGCTCTCCTCGGTAGCAACTCGGCCGCTCCCATGGACGAGCTCGATCCAGGCTAGAGGCACTTGGTCGCATTGGAATCGAGTGATCGTACGCTGGTCGTTGATATCAGCGACCGATACCGCTTCCGAAGCCGAGTGCGACAAAATGCCTCACTTGGAAGAGCCCTGCACCTGCCACAATACACTTACGAACAACTCCTTCCTGAGACCCTGCCTTGCAATTGTTCTCTTCGTCATCCCGTCTACCAACTTTCCTTGCCATTATCACCTGAGCGTACGCCACTAGTAGTTGGATTGTGTGACCGAACACCTTGGTTCAATCAATCACCCCTTTCGAGTTCCTTCAAAATTTAACCCAACACCGTCAGGATTGTTACATCTTCCAAACAAACTGGACCCAAGCCGATTTACCCTAGAGTTGCATGAAACATTACATTGGGCACACTAAACTGTCTGTTCCCCATTGTCGCGAACGGAGGGTAAGTAGTCTACAAGTAGTTGGTCTCGAACTGCGATTGATTGCGCCCTTCAGGAAAGAGTTGTGAAGCATCCAAATCATCACTTGGGACCCTTCACGATTCAGGGGCATGTTCTGGAGAGCAAACAGGACAAAAGCAGACTCAACGTAAGGTGAATATCGGTATTCTTCCAACTCTCTTTCCACCTCCTAGAGGAGAATGAGTACGTGTGCCGAACCCACTCCGCTCACAGTATTCATTGGTAAGTTGGTGGAGCGGTAATCCAAGGAAGCACCCGTAATTCACTGTTGCTTGATGCCATCCATACCCCTCAGGAAAGACCCATCCTTAGCAATCTCTGAAGTTGCGATATAGATGCGTTACACTGGCAACCCACTAAAGTGACCGTTCACGTCTGCGTTTGTATGGGCTCCGGATGCGTCGGGCGTGTCAGCTCATCGAGGTATTCAGGGACTCACTACAAGTTATGACCTCGCCAAGTCTGAAGGTGGACATCCCAGACCGGGATCGAGGCTGGAAGAGCGGCCCGGCACGCTGAAGCAAAACTTCTCCATATGATATGGCATTCAGTGTCCAGCCCGCCGACAATTAGCCAGGAATGGTAAATGCAAGAGAACCCCGTGAAGCGCAAATACCGGCTCAATCCGCGGATCCCGTGCTCTTGCAATGACGGATTGGTTGAATGTGCAAGCACCATCTAAGAAGCGAACCTAGTCAAAGATGGCTTTATTGCCCATCGGTTCAACCGTCAGAGTCATCACTGGTACTTGTTTTCCCGGAGGTGGCTAACACCAATGCGTCGGCGGAAGGTGTCATCTTGATCCTCCTTAAAGCCGCAAGTATGGTCAGCAGGGCGGAAGGAAGCCTTCGAAAATGGATGAGTGCCTTGGCTTAGGGCAGCGTTTGGAGATATGGTGGTCCTTCCCGTCCCAGGAGAGCCACGTAGCCAGACGAATTGGCCCTCTTGCGACGTTTGATCATCGACCCCTAGACCTCAAATTGCGTGCTTTCAAGGCAGTCGGACATATTTGTGACGTAGGTATTGTCTACACCGAGTCGGGGAAGTTGTGAAAGCTCGGCTAGCAGTGATGTTGATAAGAAAGTCCGAAGCGCGTCAGCAGGAACGCACGGTGCACCGATGACTGAATCGTGTTGAGGAGCATCGGGACTGTTGCCTCCGTCTCTGGGCTGTATAATCAGCAAACAACCTGCTTGATATGGTTTCCCAGTGGGATTGGGGCTCAAGCTACTGATGCCGCATGGGTGAAACCCTCATGGAACAGCTCTTGTAGTGGGGCCTGGCCGGTTTAGGGTTGGAGTAGCTGAAGTAACCCGTGCGACGTAGCGGGAACAGCGATTTGGGCAAAGGTCCTTGATCGGCGGATACAATCAGGGGACAGGCGCTCTCCCGAGACTGCCCAGATGTACTCGCTGGGGGACCACCGTCGTTTTCTCGTGTCTGTGTATTTGTATCGTAGATCACTCATTTTTGCGCTCACATAAGCGCGGCCAATTCCTGCTGCGGGGACTTCGTTTGATTGGCCTGCCCACCATAGTTCTCGGCGCATTGCTGTTATCTAGGCTCGTTACAAGTTCATGCTCTCTCAGCTACCTTCATCCCTCAAGAAGTCAATCTTCTGCATGGGTTATACATGTATCATTTATCACCATCGCTCAACTGAATGCGTGAAAGAAAATAGGTCATCCAACTACGCACGTTTCCTGGAGTTCCTGCTCGTCGAGAGCGTTATTGAACTTGGCGATAGCCTCCTCGATCTTCTGCTTCCTTCTTGCTTTCCTCTCATCGATTCTCCCCTCCGAGCCCGCCCACGAGACCCATTCAGTCTCTGAAAATTCCATCCACCACTCACCCGCGAAAGGGTGGCCCGGGGCTCCTGCATATCCCCAAGGCTTGGCAGTGTATGGCTGCACCCAGGGATTAATTATATCCGCCATACTAGGATGCAACGGTCCAGTAAAATGGACAATGTACGGCTCTATCTTCATGCGTTCAAGATCCAAGCCATCCCGTTCCGCGGATGGCATGTTGGCATATGTTCCAAGGCCTTGCGCGTTCCAACGGAAGTCAAGCGCCCGCCACCTTGATTTGAAGTGTTTATTCAGAGCGTCTTGCTCATGCACCGGTGAATCTTTCAGGCTGTGACACACGCGAAGCAGCGCTTCCCTGTCTTCTCGAATCTTTGCCAGGTCCATCAAGAGCACCCCTGAGTTGAAGTAGGGAGATCCATCCCGCATCGGAATTCCAACGTCCTGCACGGCACCTAGGCTCGCCCCTTGGAGATCTGAATCCCACAAAGCTGAGACGTCTTTACGGACTAGGACGTCTGCATCAAGATAGATTACCCTCTCGACTGGTACCCAGCTGACAGCATCTATCTTCCCCCACTGTGGGCCGAGGGTACAATATAGGCTGCTCTTCGGAAGCCGAATGAAGCGAAGGGTCACTTCATCGCGCGAAGAAACCGATGCTCGAAGCTTCCTTTGATTGTCTTCGCTTAGTTCGTATTGGAGGATGTAAATCGAGATGCGGCCTGGGGTGTTCGCAATGACTGTATGAAGAGCAACAGCTGCTGGCATTGCATATTCGTTGTTAGTCGTTACCGCCAAGTTAATCCCATACTCAAATCCTTCCCGGCTAAACTCCTTTGTATCTTTGGACAAAAAGCCGATTCTCATATCCGACGTCTTGCGAAGAATCATTTGGTAATCTGAGGGAAGGACTTCATATTCCCCTTCATGGACTGCCATAAATGCATCGATCCCTCGTCGGGGATGGTGACGACTCTCCACCGGTTGCGCCTTCCAGTCATAATCGTCAAATATGATAATCGCATTCTTCTTTGCTAGGCGCCAAGCTAGTTCTCCATCGAGCAACGTGTCATCTGCTTCATGCGACCCATCAATGTAAATCCAGTCGAAGCCCGGATCCTTTTGAGGAAGAGCCTCATGGAGCAACATGTTAAGCGCAGGTAAACTGAAATCGTCGATGATCCTATGGGGACCTCCAGCGAGGGCGAGGTTATTCCTTATCTTCCTCAGCCTTTCGATGCCCTCAGGGGTCCGTTCGAGATCGAAATGGTCGATACAGGTGATGTGACCCTCATCTTTGGTCAAATTCTCGATCAAGAATACTGCAGATCTGCCTTCCCAGGATCCTATTTCGAGAGCTCTGGGTTTGGACGCGGTGACCTGAAGGATCAATGACTTCCATGTTGGTTCATGGCCGCTGAACCAGTCCTGAGTTTCAGTGAATTCGTATTTCGACTTCTGCGTTGGTGATTGGGAAGACGCTACTCCGAGATGTGGATTGGCGGACATAGCATGGACTTCTCACCATGAGTCGCTAAGCTAGGGCAGTAAGTGTACTGGAGGGGGGTCTCACTCGACACACGCCTCTTTGATAAGATCTTGAGATCTTTTAGCTATCAGCGGAGCCTGGAATTTATCATGTGCATACACATCAATTGAATGTAAGTTCATTTCCACATTTGACGTTCCACAGCTGACCGCTGCTCGAAAAGGGGCCAATCCTTGAGTGTCCACGATGCGCAAGATTCCCCTTGGTTCAAACGTTGCCACGGACAAACTGCAAGTACTAGTGATTGAATCAAATTTGGCTTCATAGGGGAAGGGTATTCCGAAAATGATTGCATATAGTTATACATTGAAACGGTGGGGAAGCAAACACTTCTGCTCAGCAGCGGCTGAGGTAAATGGCCATGAGTAACACGATGAGGATGAGGCGCTCCGCCGAGTTCGTGCGCGCCAACTCCTTGTCCTTACGCCCCGGAAGTCGAATGAACCAATCAAATCTCTTGAAAATGCTCGTAAACTCTCTCCGTTCCAATATTCCCACCAGTCGTCCAAACTCGCTAACCATACGAATAATTGAGCTCTCTAATATCGCGATACTCCATCTGAAGCCATTAGGCTGAACCCCTGGAAGCTGAATGTGGCCTCTTTCTCTCCAGAGGTGACGGAAGATGTCGTGGAAGATATTTGCGACCATTACTGAAACAATGAGAGCAAAGGAAACGTGGCGAAGAGGGGACAAACAAGGAAGAATGACCCCGAGCAAACCCACTATTGTTCCGGCAGAGGCAACAAGAAGGATCTCTGCAGAGTTTGGCGCATCTCTGTAAGACAAAGAAGGATACATGTCTGTCAATGCACCGTCCCCACGGGCCCACCCGAAGAAACGCCGATACGAGCGAGATCCCCCGTTCCACCAGGGATGGGTAACAATCACATCAGGTGCACCAAGGAATCCAACACCCCCAGTCATCTTCGAAGCCTGGCGACGTCTGAGACAGAAGTCTACATCTTCCCCACCACCAGTACGCGGGAACCTAAGGTCGAACTCAGACCCGTCATTCACTCGCCGAGCTGCCAGATTTGCTGTGACCCCCCAGGGAATCTCCCCTTCTAATTTCTCGGCTATGTCCCAAAAGTAGGTGATGCCGGAATAGTGTAGTGCCATGGTAAAAATTGAGCTTGGACTTGGGAAATGAGATAAGCCAACAAAGCCGGCTGCTTGGGGATGTACACGGATGTGACGTTCCAGGTTCCAGAGTATATTGGGCTCAGGAATCACGTCGTCATCTAGGAACAGAACCCACTCCGCTGCGGACTCCGACAGACCGCGATTCCTTGCAGCACTTGCCCCAAGGTTACGTTCGTTGATCCTTATCCGGACATCCGACCGATGTCCGTGTCTGGTAAGGAGTTTATCTATGAAAGGGGAGTCGGGAGTGTCAATTATGATGATGAAGTTCACGGAACAAGTGTCGCTCGATTGGAGTCCTAGAATGTTGTCGAGAAGGCTTAAGTTCACACGGAATGAGGGAACAATGACATCGATAGTGCTTATCCGGGCGCCCTCGAGCGCTTTTGCAGCTAAATCCTTGGTCAACGCGTCACTCGCTACATCGAGTGTTTGGAATGTCCAATGTCTCGCAGAGACTTTGGAATATCGAGCTAATCCTTCTCCGCCGACCCTGTTTGATATTCGTGAGGGCATCATTCTATTGACCCCGAAGCGCCGATAGAGCTGGAATAGAAAAGGATCTCCGTCTTGATTGACGAAGATTTCGGGAACAACCTTGCCGTCGAAGGCGTCCATGTGGTAACGATGAATGATCGGGAATGTTGGCATCCCAGGGAATGTGGTGTCCGTAAATGCAACACACCCAACCCCATGAGGAAGACCCCGAGTGGTCGCAAGATCGAGGAAGCATTGGTGAGCCTTCCTCATCCAGCCTTCGTCCAGTAGCTCAACATCATCACCAAGAAGTATGAAATAGTCGGCCCTATCCTGCCAGGCCCTCCTCGCAAGATCCCGCCAAAGGTCGCAGACACGGCCATGGCATGGGTCGAATTTCATCAGAACAACGTCTATCAGCCCCGCGGAGCGTAATACGGCTTCGGGTTTCGTTTCCCCAGATCCTAGAAGTAGGAAGTCGTCATCGCTGTCGATACCAAGGTATATTTTGGCCTTGAATGATGTCTGGCTGTAACTGTGCGTGTCTCGCCACGCTGTGTCGACAATGGAATAGGCAAACCGTTTGAGCGAGTCCAAGCAGTCGTTGGGCGAGGAAGAATTTCTCGACGTCATTGGGAGCAACAAGGCAAAACTAATAGAGTTGGACCGCAAGTCTTCGACTTCGCTATGCTTCCAGAGTTCGAGTTGAACCTTCCGTTTTTCGTCAGGGAGCCCTTCCAAGAATTTTTCGATCCCTGCTTCAATCGAACGACACGTTCTCTCCATTCCTTCTTCCAGAGAAACCCTAGGTCTCCAGCCAAGTACTTTCTCTACCAATGTATTATCAGAACTCCGGGCTCCAACACCAACGTCTTTGGAGTGGTCATATGCAAACCTAACCCCTGATCCGCTGAGGTTTACCATTTTCAGGGCGGTAGAGGCGAGTTCCCGGATTGATATTGTTCGTTCTGATCCAATGTTTATCGGATCGCTGCACTTTGAATCAAGCAGCCGCATGACTGCATCGACAGCATCATCGATGTAAAGGAAGCTCCTTCTCTCAGAGCCATCACCCCAAAGTTCCATCGTAGGCGTTTGGCCAACGAGTTTTGCCACGGCCGCTTTGCGTAAGAGGGCTGCGGGAGCCTTCTCTCTCCCACCAAACCAGGTGCCATTGGGGCCGTAAACGTTGTGGAAACGCCCAATGTAAAGGGTAGGGGCTTCAGAGTATGATTTCCAACGAAAGTTTCGCACTAGTGATTCGGAGTTGAATTTCTCGAGACCATATAAGCCCTGGGGAGTGATGGGGTGATGTTGAACATCGGTTTCAGCGAGTAAGACATCTCTATTTTCTTTGCCTTGTAAAATTTGTGGGTAGACGCAGGCTGACGATGCGAAGAAGAACTTCGAGAGTTTCCCCTGCTCATTGCAAGCGCGGAGGAGGTTGAAGGTGATAATGTGGTTGATGATATAGATTGTTTCCTCATTCGACGCATGAATCATGCCCATGCCACCCATAAGAGCAGCAAAGTGGAGAACACAACCAACACCGCGTACTGCTCGCCGGCATTGATCAAGGTCGCAAAGGTCCACCAAGAAGAATTCATCGCACAACTCTCCGGGCAGTTCACAGGTTGGTGAAGTGTCAGCGATTCGAATGTAGTGCCCTCGCTTCTTCAGTTCCCGAGCAACATGGGATCCCTTTCATCAAGGATCAATAAGATTGTCGACTCGCTGCAATCACCAGGACTTACAATGAAGCCGTGACCTCCAGTGACTAAGTATCTAAGCTCGGCACTCATGGAAGAAGTGAGGGTGGTTGGTCCAGATAGCATGTACCTGTCGAACTGTAAGGGTTTATGTATATAAAACAACCACTGCAAGCGCCCATAGCACTCAATGCCGTGAGTCCCCATGAACACAGAGCTGAACTATTGAAGCAGCAAATCAGACCAACTCTGGATGCATGCCCACTAATATAAATCCTGGAACCCCCGATACATTGGCAACAGATACCCGACGCAGAAACTATGTACACGAAACTCTCGAAAACTCTTGTCCGTGCCAGTTATGCCAGACCATTGTGGCGTCGCACGCTTTCTGGTCATGATCCAGACTAGTAGACGAAAAATTCCACAAGAGCCGGGCAGTTAACATATAACTCTGCGGGCTCTAGAGCATCAAGATCCAAATGTAGCACACCTCATGATAAACACTTTAGCAGCCCCTAATAGCCATGTAATGAACTATGCCTATGCAGTCGAATCGGGGACAAAGGGGGAGATTCAGCAGGAAGTTAAGATCCGTGGCTCTTTGAGGTGGTGATTTGCCAGTCACAGCTCGATACAGCATTTCGAGATCATTCCAGTGCATGGGATGTGAATAGGTAGGTACGTGCCGACATGTAGAATCGCGCGCGGTCCACATACGCAGCCATGTAGTAGTTCAGCCAATGCTATCAGTTGTGGGTAGAGTCGAGGCACAACCCATGCAAAGGAGCATCTTCCTACTAAGGACGTTGTGGCGGCACTCAAGCCACCACGTCACCATGCGTGGTAGCATCACCAACAATGCTGGAGATACGTGCCCAAGCAAACATGTCGCAGCCTGTTAATCAAGCTCATGCTTGTTCACTGTCGATGTGCGTGACTTTCTATAGGTGCACCGGTGGGGTTGGTAGATCAGCTACCCATGAGGAATCCTGCACAGTACCCAAGTGGTCTTGGTCAGGCACTATACTTTTTACGGGAGCTCTACCACGCAAATAAATCTAGGTACATACAACTCGGCAAATAATTTAATTGACTAAGTATGTGAGAATCCATTCAGTCTGTCATCATTCTATCGACCAAGATCGATCAGCACAAGTCTAGCCCCTGTGCGCAAACCAGTGGCGTGCTGCATATTAGAAAAGGATACTTGGTACAATAATTGCACTGATGCTGACTTGCCAAGTAGGCTGAATTAGGCATATGTACCATCTCCTGCGTGACAAAATTGCAAATCATTCCATGCAACAAGGATGCCTGGAAGTTGTATGACATACTCAAGAACTTGAGATCGCCGCTTACGCGAGTGCAATATCGCGCTCTCTGATCTAATTCTGTGAAACGCAGAGCAAACATCTCTGCGCCTCGTCACCGCCGTATTCGACGCTCTGGCCGATTCAAGCTCCATTCCCCCGGAATTCTGGCCTCAGTTCTCGAGTGGGCACCCGGCGGGGCGAGCGCCGATGAACCTGTGGGGAACCTTTCCAAAAGCAGGCCATCAGACACAATGAGACGCTCAGAGTATCGACGGCTCTTGGTATTCCACCCCCATCTTCGGTGCAGGTGACGCATCCAACATAAATGTTTTCCTCTAGTGGTTGCACAAAGGCCATGAGCAGTATGGGGTTCGTGTCCAGTTGACATGATGATACTATTAGCAGTCAGAATACGTGATCCAGGCATGCTCCTAATCCTCGTAATCAAGAGGGTTCCAGTATCTCTTATCCCTGGAGCATCGCCTGGAAATAGTCTGAACTAGCTGGAAGATAGTCGTAACTCGGTAGAAATTATTTTAAGTTAAACAACCACTCCTTGTAATTTGTCGAATAATACTCGTTCACAACAGCCTCAAAGCGGAGCATCAAGGAGTCAAGTATTGGACTAGTTATTTTGGGACATTGGTATTAGGGAGATCAGTAGTGGGAAGTGAAATGGAATCATATGCGTGATCTGTTATGAGCCGAACAACCAGGTAACCCGGAGTGTACATTGTGGTGCCGGTACCACACTGGGAGACGCAATAATAAAGTGAGTAGGGAGCACACAAGGTCTCAAGCGGATCTGAATCGCTCAAGTAGAACGAAGCCCAAGAGTGGAGAGACCGAGCGGTACGCAGATCGCCGAGTGAGTCAGCCAACGTTGAGTTGTATGATTCTGGGTTAACGGCAACTAGCCCACTGTAGAGTTTAACGTTTTCCTCTAATAATAAGGGCGCCCCTTTGTGCCGTCCGAGATCGGAAAGAGTGGAACATAGGCTGTTGAGCGGCTCGGCCAAATCTGGGGCGTATGATCTGGGTCATTGGCAACTAGCTCGCGGTAGAGTTTGACGCTTTCCTCGATGAATGGGAGCGCCTCCTCGTGCCGTCCGAGATCGGAAAGAGCAAATTTGACACTTCCTCCATGAATGGGGGCCTCCGAGTGCATATGAGATGGGGAAGAGCGCTAAGGGATTGCTGAGTGACTGCGCCAAATCTAGGGTGTATGATTCTGGGTGAACGGTAACTAGCTCGCGGTAGAATTTGACGCACTCCTTGACGGATGGGAGTACCTCCGAGTGCCGTCTGAGTTTGGAAAGAGCCCGACATAGATTGTTGAGTGACCAGGCCAAATCCGGGCTCATGATTCTGGGCTCACGGTAACTAGCCCGCGGTACAGTTTGATCCTTTCCTCGATAAATGGGAATGCTGTCCGAGATTGGAAAGAGCACAATATAGATTGTTGAGTGATTGGCCAAATTCGGGTGTACAACTCTTGAGACCACAGAAGCAAGGTAGCGGCGGAGCACAACCGAATCATTTACTGCCTCATGCCTCTTGGAATCTCGAAAAAAAAGCCTGAAGCCAGGCAAGCGTATTGACCACTGACCCTTGATCAACTGCCCACTGGAAAACCATGTTGACTATGCATACCTTGGCCCACTCGGGAAGTATTGATATACTGATATAACCTTCCATTCCTACGCAGACTTCCACCCAGCGAGTTGCTTGCTCACCCAGAAATATGCAAACTGACTCATTCACCCGCGAATCCAGCGAGGTGGTATACAATAGAACGACATGCGTAATGCAAGTATTCGGATAGGGGAGATGTCCGGTAGTTCATCTTGTTTCAACAGTCCTCAATCTTTTACTGAGCAGAGATCCTGGTTCAGAATCTCGGAGCATCGCAAAGCAACTCTCTGACTTTACATCTGCACGAAAGCTGATCGACTGGGGATCGGCCCGATCTAGAATAGAGTCACGGTGCAAGATGGGAATCGGAATGTGAGGTCGCCCAACTCCTGAGAGAAGAGGTGCAAGTACTAGAAACTGGAGGGGTAGCGAAATATATCTCCGGCTGACTCCGAATAGTGGCCAATCGGAGGCTCGCTTTACACTCAGATTGGTTAATTATTTGCTCAGACTTGACACTTGTATTTATGTAGTCGATCCAACACACTGGGAAATTCCCGGGACATTTGAGGTATGAACGGACAACCTGCATCGAAAATTAGTCAATTTCCAATTTGTCGACGATCCACCTAGTATTGTACATTAATTGTGGGCGAACAAATAGAGATGCCATATGGGCACGATGGAATAAGACGGGCTGTAGTGGTAACAGCAGCGAAAGAAAGAGAAACAAGACGCAGAAGCGTGAATGGGCGAAAACACGCAAGCTTAGCCGAGAAAATCCTCCAACGACATCATCCCTTACTTAGTGTATGTAGGCGAAACCGGACTGACTCCCATCTTCAACGCTCTCCCTTCCTCAACTTTCTCCTCATTCTTCCCCAACTTTCCGCTGAAAATCTTCGCCTCTCCTTTCAATTTATCCATAAAGCTAGGCTTCTTCCTCGTCTCGTCGCTCGATGCGCTATCTTGACCACCTCTGTTCGTCACCAACCGTGAACATCATCATATATTCCCCACGTTCATTTCCATTGAACGGATCAGCAGAAGCCGACATCCCAACCGGGATGGCAACATCGCAGATAATTTGGATGACGATGATGTCCATCAACACCGTAGTTATGAAATGTGGGGAGTGCAAAGGTGGACCCAAGGCAAACTCAATCGATCAGCAACTATTTTCTTATAAAAAGGATCACGAACGACTGACTTGGTTTGGTCCGATGACTGAACGTTCACTTTCTCGGGATGTCCCCCTGTAGAACTGAGGCTAGTGTCCACAGCGCCAGTTACAATTCTCTGGTGCACTTTTTCTTCCCCCTTGAAACGATGAGACTCATCTGCTTCTTGGAATTTAGACCCAACCCCCGAGGCACCCACACTCTGTGCGAGATGCGCAGCTTTACCCGCCAGCCCAATTGGGGCTGGGGCAGAGGGAGGAGCGGCGATCTTGTTCGCTTCTACGTCAGAGTATGGAGACTCAGTGTCGTAGGGAGAAACCAAATGAATATTGCGCTTGGCCCCAGCGTTGTCAACGAGCGTTGGATCAGGGTGAGCTAACAGGAAAGCGCAATCAAGCGAAACCCATAGCCAGTCCGGGGAGGAACTGACCCTTTTCCTCAGGCAGTAACGCCACACCTTCTTCATCGCGTCCACCGGGCAATGATCCAACACCACCCATCGGACCCTGACCCTTATCCCCACTTGGCAATGTGGCAGTCTCCTTGACGGGCATCATATCCACATTCCTTTTACCACCTGCACCAGTTCCAGTGCCACCAGGAGCGGTACTCCTCTCTGGAAAGCGTTCTTGTACAGATTGAGGAACGGCCTCGCGAGCTTTGCCATAAACCGCGGCACCAGCTGCCCCTAATGCGGCTGAGGTGGCAGCTGCGTGTTGAGCGGCG